GCAAATGAGAGAGTGGGTGAGATGTTATCAACAAATTTTGTTGAAAATAAGAAAAAGTTTTGGAGTGAGATAACAAGTTAAGAAAGCCTAAAGAAACAAATGGATTTGTCAGTTAAAAATAGGAGAGGAGAGTTATTAAATGGAGAGTATAGAGGTATTGGGAAGATGGAGGGAATATTTTGAGGAATTTTTAAATGTTGATGAAGATAGGGAAGCTGTGATTTCGTGTATAGGGCAAGGAGGGATAACATCTTGTAGGAGTGAGGAAGAGCCAGTTGTGAGTGTGGGGGAAGTTCGTGAGGCAGTAGGTAAATGAAAGGGGGTAAGGCAGCATGGATTGATGGGATAAAGATAGAAATGTTAAAAGCAGGTGGGGATATAGTTTTGGAGTGGTTGGTGCAATTATTTAAATAAATGTATGGAAGAGGGTAAGGTACCCAGGGATTGGCAGAGAGCATGCAAGTTCCTTTGTATAAAGGCGAAGGGGATAAAATAGAGTGCAAAAATTATAGGGGATAAGTCTGTTGAGTATACCTGCAAAGTGTATGGTAGAGTTATTATTGAAAGAATTAAGAGTAAGACGGAGAATAGGATAGCAGATGAACAAGGAGGCTTTAGGAAAGGTAGGGGTGTGTGGACCAGGTGTTTACAGTGAAACACATAAGTGAACAGTATTTAGATAAGGCTAAAGAGGTCTTTGTGGCATTTATGGATTTGGAAAAGGCATATGACAGGGTGGATAGGGGGGCAATGTGGCAGATGTTGCAGGTGTATGGTGTAGGAGGTAGGTTACTGAAAGCAGTGAAGAGTTTTTACGAGGATAGTGAGGCTCAAGTTAGAGTATGTAGGAAAGAGGGAGATTATTTCCCAGTAAAAGTAGGCCTTAGACAAGGATGTGTGATGTCACCGTGGTTGTTTAATATATTTATAGATGGGGTTGTAAGAGAAGTAAATGTGAGGGTCTTGGCAAGAGGCGTGGAGTTAAAAGATAAAGAATCACACATAAAGTGGGAGTTGTCACAGTTGCTCTTTGCTGATGATACTGTGCTCTTGGGAGATTCTGAAGAGAAGTTGCAGAGATTGGTGGATGAATTTGGTAGGGTGTGCAAAAGAAAATTGAAAGTGAATACAGGAAAGAGTAAGGTTATGAGGATAACAAAAAGATTAGGTATGAAAGATTGGATATCAATTGGAGGGAGAGAGTATGGAGGAGGTGAATGTATTCAGATATTTGGGAGTGGACATGTCAGCGGATGGGTCTATGAAAGATGAGGTGAATCATAGAATTGATGAGGGGAAAAGGGTGAGTGGTGCACTTAGGAGTCTGTGGAGACAAGAACTTTGTCCTTGGAGGCAAAGAGGGGAATGTATGGAGTATATTTTTTACCAACGCTCTTATATGGGTGTGAAGCATGGGTGATGAATGTTGCAGCGAGGAGAAGGCTGGAGGCAGTGGAGATGTCATGTCTGAGAGCAATGTGTGGTGTGAATATAATGCAGAGAATTCGTAGTTTGGAATTTTAGGAGGAGGTGCGGGATTACCAGAACTGTTGTCCAGAGGGCGGAGGAAGGGTTGTTGAGGTGGTTCGGACATGTGGAGAGAATGGAGCGAAACAGAATAACTTCAAGAGTGTATCAGTCTGTAGTGGAAGGAAAGCGGGGTAGGGGTCGGCCTAGGAAAGGTTGGAGGGAGGGGGTAAAGGAGGTTTTGTGTGCGAGGGGCTTGGACTTCCAGCAGGCATGCGTGAGCGTGTTTGATAGGAGTGAATGGAGACAAATGGTTTTTAATACTTGACGTGCTGTTGGAGTGTGAGCAAAGTAACATTTATGAAGGGGTTCAGGGAAACCGGCAGGCCGGACTTGAGTCCTAGAGATGGGAAGTACAGTGCCTGCACTCTGAAGGAGGGGTGTTAATGTTGCAGTTTAACCCTTTGAGGGTCGACAGGCCCTCTCCGAAACTCGTTCTCAGGGTCGGCCAAATTTAAAAAAAAAAAAAAAATATTTTCTCTTATGAAAAGATAGAGAATCTTTTCCCGATCATAAAGACACCAAAAGTTTGAAATTTGATAGAAAACTTACGGAATTATGCTCTCGCAAAGTTAGCGGTCTCGGCGATGTTTACGGATCGGCGATTTTGCCCACTTTGAGGCCCCATTTCGGCCAATTTCACTGTACTAGTCGACAAAAAACATGAATATTTCGCTAGAACTTCCATTTTTTTCTATCGAATGGGTCAAGAAACCACCCATTTATAAATTCAACTATCCAGTACAGTGGTCAGAATTTAGCAATTTTGCCAATTTCACACAAATTTCAAAAGATGCCAATTTCGGAATAGGGTCCAGAATAAACAAGAAAGACATTCCTGGCACTAAAATGATATTTCCTCTAGTCATTAGTCACGTCTCAAGGCCCCTCTTATATTCTTTTGCTTTCCACTTTGAATTTTTATTCTCACAAAAAATATAAGATTTACTGTTATGCAGACTACTCCATTAGTGTAAAAAATGGTATAAATATTATTGGTGCACTTGTGAAAGAATATTAGACTCACCAGTTGACGTGTATTGCACGCTTGGCACGATTTGTTTACTTTTGAAGTTTGGTAAAAATCGAACATTTCTGCTACTTTGAGCTCAATTTTAAGGCACCTTTCATTGTAAAACCAGTCAAAATCATCTCAATTTCAGTAATATGTCTTCCATTCTATAAAATGAGACCAAGAAAACTAGAATACAACAATAAATACCATACGAAAATACACTGCAAAGTCGCTGATTTATTAAAAAAAAATGGAAAAAGTTTTTTTTTTCTCATTATGCACTGTGTGCTGCAGGATTTTTTTTAGACTGTGCACACTGACCACATAGACCCATTCTTTCATATGAAGGCCTACCAGCTTTCTCCCACTAGATTTGAGGTCGCTAGAATTTATGAGTACTAGTACGTCAAAAACCCCTACGCGTAAGACGTACTAGTACGACGAAAACCCTCAAAGGGTTAAAAACTGTAGTGTAAAGCACCCTTCTGGCAAGACAGTGATGGAGTGAATGATGGTGAAAGTTTTTCTTTTTCGGGCCACCCTGCCTTGGTGGGAATCGGCCAGTGTGATAATAAAAAAAAATAATAAAAATATATATAAGTAATGATACCTAAACATAATTCTATTTTATACTGCTAACACACTACAAGTGTACAGTACAACCAATATCACATGTCTAAATCTCTCTAAACGGCTTCCTCCTTTAGATATACAGCAATGAACTCGACATATTTTGTTGACACAAGTGTTGACTCGACCAGACTAGTACACAAATTTCACACCATTACCCAACATATCCATTCCTAAATATTCAGCCTTCAGGTTCTAATATCTAGCTAGTAGTACACATGCAACACGGTTGTTTCAATGTGCAGATCACCAGAACAAATGCCCATTCCTCCAAAAGGAAAAGTTAACAAAGTGATGTAAATTTCTGATACGCCCATTTTTAATTTTGAATCAAGACCAAGCTAGTAATCTTGCCTAGCCTGGTTAAGAACTTTTTTCTTAAATCAGCAATTAAGGTTGCAGCAAGAAGGAAACACACTATCATTCATTCAATAGCTGTCTTGCCAAAGGTGCGTGGACATCATGATTCAAATGATACTCTGAACTGCAACATTTCCAATCATACTTCTGATAGCAGGCACTGTACTTCTGCCCACCGCCCCCAACTCTCTAGAATGGAAGTTTGGTTAGCTGGTTTCCCGGAATCAATTTACAGTACATACAAAAAAATAGAATACTGTAGCTTACTTTGTCATCAAAGAATTTGCATAACTTTCAGTAACTGATGTCCTTCTATGGAACAAGACATGGCTAATTTTCAAATATGTAACTCCAATATGTTTTCTAAACTCATAAATGAATATGAGGAGCATTGCCCAAACAGCTGGAAAAACTACAGCAAAGCAGGAGTGATAGCACTGATTTGTTCTCACTACAGACTAGGTGATCAAAGATATTAAATTCAGTACAGGTATATAATCCTGCTGAAAGTATGCTTTATCCTGCTCTTCAGATAGGACTAACATAATTTACTGTCAACTAGAAAAAATAATTCGTCTCAAAAAAACTAGTCAATACGAGCCAGCCCTAACAAGATTACAGACATAACCATCAACATTCCATCCAGTTGACAGAAGAAACTTTTATAGAATGAAAATCTTAGAAACATTATCAGTATGTTTATAATTACTGTATCTAGGACTTCATTTTGGACATCAACGCTGGGTTAAAAGTAGAAGCTTCGTGTTATAACAATATAATTTTTTACAAATGATAATTCTGGAAAACGGATAAAGAAACTACTAAAAACTGTATTTTTTCACATTATAGTTTTCCTATAAATTCCACCATTAAAAATCTAGCAACAAATGAAATTCATAAAAAAAATTAAACTAGCAACTAATGATGTGAAGTCCATAACAATAATGCATGTAGCTTCTGCAATATAGGGAAAATAACAAACTACTGTTTTTACAAAAAATTGCAGACACCACATAAGCTAAATGCAGTACGAAAAACACCACAGAACAAGCACCAAACCGCTTTCATGCACTTACACACACCTCTGAAGATATGCATTCAAATGCACAAAAGCACTCAGGTGTTTGTTTTTTAACCGAGGTATTTGTTTCATGTTTGTAGTTACACATTCTCAAGAGTGATTTATTCCCCAGACTGAACTGTAGTACATTAAAGTATATAATGCTTTTAAGTATAAAATACTGCTTTCTGTGGAAAGTATAATCTATTTTATTTTAAGAATATATGACTCCACAAGGAAAAAAATGCACTATAACATTGCACAATAATTCTTAAATAGCAGAGTAAAGCATTACTGGATGCTGATCACCCTACCTGTAGTGACAGTGGTAAAGGGTACAAATGTGCGTGGGTTGCAAGGGGTCCATAACAAGGAGGGTCTACATACCTTTTTCGTATACCTCCTTACCTTTCTCCACTGCATCATTGATCACCTGTTTTATGCTCGACATTGTGCCGAGACTGGGAGGCAGGGGGTGAGAAAAGAGATGGTTAAGAAATTCTCTTAGTATTGTATACACAAATATTATAGTACTGGTACTGTAAAGGAAAATAAAAAAATTTAAGTACAGTACTTTACATAACATAAAATACAAAAATAAAATTGCAAAGCAGTTAATATGAATACCTTGAGCTAAGATGAATGATTTATGTATTTGCAGAGAAAAATAATCAGAAAGACAGTAGGCTTAATACCTTTATCTGGAGGCTCAATAAAACCATTTTTATTAGAGCCTGTTACTCAGCAATCTAGCGTCTGCAGCTAACCTTGAGCTTTACAAACATCTTGACAAGATAATTATGAAGTTAAGCCTAGTATAATGTCCATTGCAAATCTTGATTTTTAAGAATACATGTATTAGAGTCATATGCAGAAAAGTGAAAGTTTATGGCCAAAAATGGGAGGATAGAATAGTTCTTTTGGTCTGAATATTTCAGTAGGAATCTAGATGATGGGTCATTTCAATTATTCAGATAGGAGATTTCAGGTAACTTTAGATTTACCCGAGTTTTAAGATTTTAGCTTTAAATTTTTGAAAAGCTATCAAGCTACTAGACAGCAGAAAAATGGGCATGAATACTAACCAGACACTTCTTTATTCTTGTGTAAATATAAACATACAAATAATACGCAGATTATTATTCCTCCATTTGTTCTTTCTCAAAGGCTTTATAGCAGTTAGTTTTCATAGCCCTCCCCCCTACACATTTTATTGGTGTTGTTCTTGAATTTGAGGAGCCATAGACAGTGTATGTCATACTGAGCTCTACCTACCAGTGTCCATAGAGAAAATATTGTGAAGGAAACAGGAGTTCCCTTTGGGAATCAAGAGAGTTCTCAAGTATGCATGCCCTTATCTAAACCCCAGCAGAAGTGGACTCAATCACCCTAAAATGAGATGATAACAATGTACAACACTTTGGTATCTTTATTGCCAAAACATTTCTTCTGAACAGCAAGCTTTTTAAAGCTAATAAAGCTTAATTTTATTCTAGACAGAGCAAAAGAAAGAGAATCTTGATACAGAGGATATCTTTCATTACTACTGAGAACCTCTGGCCTTGATTAAGGGCACGTCCTGCTTCCACTACTGTGGTGGAAGGAGGACATACCCATTGGTGATGATCTTTTCAATTGCTGCACCTTTCCTCTGACTCAGGCATATAAATTTACATCCTCATTACTTTGTTTTCAATGGATCAAAGTTAAAAGACCGAACACCTATTCAAGGCTCAGGGACTACACACCTTAAAATTACCTCTCCACTTCTTCCACTGTATTAGACTGAAAAAATGCCTGCTGCACAGGTGAAACATTTCACAATTGTAGATATCCAGATGCAGCATATATGTATTATTCATCAACGTGTTTGTATTATATACCAATAATGTTATAATACCTTCCAAACCAGTGACCAACTTTCCTTTCAGCCATATGAAACCTGAAGAGCAAATCCAACAATGGTGCCCCTGGCCATTGCTATGCCCAGTAGGTGGATTATAAAGTCAAGCATCTCAGTGAGAAAACAGGAAAATATCATCACCAATACTCAGGCAGAGCAGCTTCTACACACCACCAAGGTTGATGCAAGTCTTTTACTGTATACAGACTCCTGCATATTGTACATCATTCTAAATGGGGCAGTGACACCTGAAATCCTCAGGTATCACCTCACTGTGATCCTCACAATTATCTCATCATATTTAGTATCACTTCACATAACTGTCTTCTTTCCTATCATAACTTGTTAGAATTTTTGAATTACCATATTTTAAATATTGTATAATCTAAGTGTTCTTAATCTCAAGTACCCTGCTAGGGCTTTATATGTCCATATACATTATGTCATTCAAACTGAATCAGTTCTGCTGTGAGCTTCACTTATATACCTACTTGCAAAATACTGTCTCATCACATTTTGTAATACAGGCAGCTAGTCTCACTCACTTTTTAACTTTATGTTTATGATGAATTAATGAAATAATATAGTATAATCTAAGTGTTCTCATTTCCATATAACTTATGATTTTATCTGCTTCATATACATTTGTTTAATATTCATGTAATCTGTCTTACATACATGTAAAATACTGGTCCTCCTAGATGTAAGTTAAGTTTAAATAAGCTTATTTAGGTACAGGCACACATAAGTACTAATATTATGTATAGTATAAATTACCTAGGATAACAAAAAAAAAAATGTCAAAAATTATCTAAATAACTAAGGGATGCAAGAGATGTAATGTCATCCAAGTTTATACAAATGATGGATCAAGTGGAAATAAATTGCAGATGAATGGTTATTCTTGGTTGATTACATCTTTGTGGGAGCAGTAAACCCACAGGGATCATTCAGCACCTGGGCCTGGGGAAGAGGAGGCATTCAAGTTTGATCCAAGGATGGGAAAGGCCGGTTCAAAATCTGGTATCAAGAGCCCCTTACCAGCATCAAGAACACTCCCTTAAGGTGAATCATCCTCAGGTAAACCGTCATGAATGGAGTATGGCCAGGAATCACATCCTCGCCATTAACACATTTCACAGCATAACTATATTACGACATTTTCCTGGCAAGTAGTAGACTCCAGGCTAATCTGTCTGATAATGGGATAAACCTATAATAGACTCATTAGTGCCACCTTAGGCCTGGGTAGGCTTTCTCGAGCACTTACCCTATATAACCAACACCACATTCTTCTTCCCACTTTACTCCCTAACAAACCACAAGCCAAACCCCCAAAAATTTTCTTTCTTATACTGATAGCTTGTCGACCTATTCCAGACATTACGAAAAACCTAAAAAAAAAAAAAATCATCTCAGATGTGGGCAGTGTCTGTGTTGACATCATCTGACTAGCCAAAATGGCAGCTACAACCCTCCTTCCACTTTAAAGCAGCTGTACATCCCCTTAACATCACTCATTCCTCCTCTTAGCCCCTAGGGTAGAAGCAACACCCCTAAATAATAGACTGAAGTTCCAATCATCTCACCTGAGGTCACCTGAGGCGTAGAATAATAAACTTTACTGAGGCATCTGCCAGTATTTTGTCATCTGTGTGTTTCCGGCAAGGTGGAACTCCCTGTGGTGCCACCTGCTGGCGGCCCTCACAACCCTCCAGAGAAAACTGTACTACCAGTGACTACTCTGTCTCTCATGCTCACCTGCCCCAGGGGTGACTACTCTGTCTCTCATGCTCACCTGCCCCAGGGGTGACTACTCTGTCTCTCATGCTCACCTGCCCCAGGGGTGACTACTCTGTCTCTCATGCTCACCTGCCCCAGGGGTGACTACTCTGTCTCTCATGCCACCTGCCCAGGGACTACTCTGTCTCTCATGCTGACTACTCTTCTTCATGCTCACTGCCAGGGTGACTACTCTGTCTCTCATGCTCACCTGAACCAGGGGAGACTACTCTGTCTTTCATGCTCACTTGCCCCAGGGGTGATTACTCTGTCTCTCATGCTCACCTGCCCCAGGGAGACTCTCTCATGCTCACCTGCCCCTGGGGTGACTACTCTGTCTCTCATGCTCACCTGCCCCAGGGGTGATTACTCTGTCTCTCATGCTCACCTGCCCCAGGGGTGATTACTCTGTCCCTCATGCTCACCTGCCCCAGGAGTAACTACTCTGTCTCTCATGCTCACCTGTCCCAGAGACTGATCTGTCTCTCATGCTTACCTGCCCCAGGGGTGAATATTCTGTCTCTCATGCTCGCCTGCCCCAGGGGAGACTACTCTTTTTCATGCTCACCTGCCCCAGGGGAGACTGTCTCTCATGCTCACCTGCCCCAGGGGTGACTACTCTGTCTCTCATGCTCACCTGCCCCAGGGGTGATTACTCTGTCTCTCATGCTCACTTGCCCCAGAGGAGACTGATCTGTCTCTCATGCTCACCTGCCCCAGAGGAGACTACTCTGTCTCTCATGCTCACCTGTCCCAGAGACTGATCTGTCTCTCATGCTTACCTGCCCCAGGGGAGACTACTCTGTCTCTCATGCTCACCTGCCTCAGGGGAGACTACTTTGTCTTTAATGCTTACCTGCCTCAGGGGAGACTATTCTGTCTCTCATGTTCACCTGCCCCAGGGAGACTACTGTCTCTCATGCTCACCTGCCTCAGGAGAGACTACTCTGTTTCTCGTGCTCACCTGCTCCAGGGATGACAACTGTCTCTCATACTCACTTGCCCTAGGGGATACTATTCTGTCTCTCATGCTCACCTGCCCCAGAGACTGATCTGTCTCTTATGCTTACCTGCCTCAGGGGAGACTACTCTGTCTCTCATGCTCACAAGCCCCAGGGGAGACTACTGTCTCTCATGCTCACCTGCTCCAGAGACTAATATGTCTCTCATGCTCACCTGCCCAGGAGTGACTACTCTGTCTCTCATGCTCACCTGCCCAGGGGTGACTACTCTGTCTCTCATGCTCACCTGCCCCAGGGGAGACTACTCTGTCTCTCATGCTCACCTGCCCCAGAGGAGACTGATCTGTCTCTTATGCTCACCTGCCCCAGGGGTGATTACTCTGTCTCTCATGCTCCTCTTCCCCAGGGGAGACTACCCTGTCTCTCATGCTCACCTGTCCCAGGGGTGATTACTCTGTCTCTCATGCTCATCTGCCCCAGAGGGACGATCTGATCCCCGGGGTGTTTTTTTTCCCCCCCTCTCAAATGCTCACCTGCCTCAGGGGTGATTACTCTGTCTCTCATGCTCACCTGCCCCAGGGGAGACTGTCTTTCATGTTCACCTGCCCCAGGGGTGATTACTCTGTCTCTCATGCTCACTTGCCCCAGAGGAGTAGTTTTAGTTTAATATGTTTATTATGCACCCCATACCCATCCTGTGGGTGGTAGTCAAAAGATTACAGAGGTACATAATTGGTCCAGGGACTGGACTCCAAAGTTTTGATAGCTGAGCAAGTTACAGAGGTAATGAACTCACAGTTTACAAAGGTAATGAACTCACAATTTACAAAGGTAATGAACTCCAGGTAGGTCTGGTCACAATCATGACAAGTTACAAAGGTATTTACAGATTACAGAGGTACGTAATGGGTCCAGGGACTGGGCCCCCAAAGTTTTGATAGCTGAACTAGGTACAAAGGTAATGAGCTCACAAGTTACAAAGGTAATGAATTCTGTAGAATGGTTACTTACGTTTATACATGGCTACAATCATGAACAAATTATAGTGTAATGAGCAATTCACACTTCCACACCCGGTCACAACTGTAATGAGTTACTGGTGCAATATTGATTGTTGAATC